GCTGCTGTATATGATCTAAAAGACAACTCATGCTGGGGATGATTCTCCTGGGAATAGCACCATAAGGTTCATGTTGTGTTTAACAAACCTCTTGCCTGAAAGATTATAGATTAAGCAAAAATGGGATTAGGCTATAAATACACTATATCTTAAATTAACATAAATTATTTTGCTCAGGGTGTGAATTAGTCACTTTCCCCTGAACAAGGTAACTAATGCAGGCTTACGCATCAGTGTGGACAGTGTTATGTTGACAAGCTTCTCTCACTGATGTAGTTACTGCCACCCATGGAGGCTGAAGAGCTCTCTCTTGTGAGTTTAGTGCAACTACACTCGACAGTTTACAGGGGGGCAGCTGTCCAACTGTAAACTCTCTAATATGTCCACAACTTTAGATCAAACACCTGAATCCACGAGAACAGGGAATTAAAGTGGGATCCTTGAATCTTATGTGCAGCAGTGACAATGGGACCCTAAGAGTCTGAATTTTTCAGAGGCGCTGGGGACCCACTACTTTTGCTGACCTTTTATTAGGGAGCAAGACCATTTTGAAAATCAAACCATAAGGGCTGCTTCCAAATAGATGTTCATTGCTGCTGAGCTGCCGTGAGGTACTAGGTAGAGCAGAAGAATGAGCTTTATCCCCCCCTTGAGCATTTTCAAGCTATCAACATTTTTCTCGTGCTAAATGGGACAAAAAATCAAAATTGTAAAAATATTTCTGAACCAAAAATCTGAAAAAAAATGCTCTCATCAATCAAAATACTTGGATGGTTTCAAAGTGTTTTACTTTAATTTTTTAAATTTTAATTTTTACTATAATTAGCTTTAATCCAGAAACAGACATTTTCAACTGGATATTCAGAATTTTACATGTAGAGTATTCCCAAACAAAATGATATGACATTTCAAATGTTTGTTTCAAAGGCAAAAAATTATCAGCCAGCCCATACCTACAAACAATTCTTCTTACAATGAATCAGAACTTTCTGACAAAAAAACAGCTCACTGGAAAATTCCCAACCAACTTTAGTTTTAAGCACTAAAGAGTTCCAGTCCATCTGTATATCTTCTGAAGGAGGTAAGAGTGTTATACAAGTTGAACCTCTTTGGTCCAGCATCCTCACGATCTGACTGGTGCTGAACCAGAGAATTTGCCAGACACAGGTGGTCAATATTGTCTAGCAGCATTACCAACAATTCCACTGCTTAATCAGCTCATAGAAGACGTGCAGGGTAAATTAAAGCTAAATAACAGGAGCCAGGACAGGCGGTTACAAACAAACTTTATGGGACTGTAGGAAACCTGGCCACACCTATGATAAGTGGATATCCAGCTAACTAAAATCATACCGGACCATGGATGTTACTGGACCAGAGAGTGCTGGACTAGAGAGGTTCAACCCATATCATGTTAAGCATGTTGGTAAGTGTTGGAACATTTTGCATGAGTGTTCAGTACCTTGCACAACTGAAACATAAATATGTATGGCCCTAATTCAGTGAGGCATTGTAAGCACATACATAAAATTAAGCACATGAGCAGTTCTAAGAGGTTTCATTCTCTATAATGAGGAATTTGTTGTGCTTTCTTGTCTGGTTTTCTTCCTTTAGATGGGTTTTCGTTCTCTTCAGATCAAATGAAAGAAACAAATTTGCTTCAAACTGTTTTAAAATCTTCTCAATATTTTTGGTTGGATGATCCCAAAGATATGATAAAATTATACTTTAAGCATCAATACATGGTTTTACTTTTCATTCATTTTATAACTTTCAAATTTTGCATTTTTCTCCAATTTTTTAAGTGAGCAGTGAGCATTCATATAGTATTTTGAGTTTAAAAAATGAACTAACAATATTCACTGTTTTAAGCACTTTTATGTCCCTGTGACAGGTTCAGTCATAGACATCCCCATGAGACATGATGTGCTGGAATTGCATGACCTGCTCTGTGGGGCACTCCATTACCCTGTCCTTCTGAGCCAGAGCCTCTGGTCTTCTCAAATGTTAGCATAGAGTTGGGGTCACAGCAAACAGCAGCGTTACACAGACACTGAGATCCACTCAGATCTGAGAAGTCTCAGTCAAAGGGATTTGCCACAGCACCCAGATGCACAACTCAAAAACTCAAAAAAAAATGACTTACTCTGTATACAGTTTGATACAGAGCAAACTCATAAAATGCTCACCCCCCCCCCTTTACCAATGAAAGAGAGATATTCACAGCTGTTTCCTCAGTCCCAGCTAACAATTATTTAATTTGCTTTATATTAGCAAAGTCTTGACCATTGCTGTCTAGGCTTCAGGCTTCATAACCTGTCTGTGATATGTGGGCTAATGTTTCAGAGCCTCATCTTATTACAAGGAGGTATGGTATGTCTACACTACCCTCCTAGTTCGAACTAGGAGGGTAGTGTAGACATACCATACCTCCTTGTAATAAGATGAGGCTCTGAAACATTAGCCCACATATCACAGACAGGTTATGAAGCCTGAAGCCTAGACAGCAATGGTCAAGACTTTGCTAATATAAAGCAAATTAAATAATTGTTAGCTGGGACTGAGGAAACAGCTGTGAATATCTCTCTTTCATTGGTAAAGGGGGGGGGGTGAGCATTTTATGAGTTTGCTCTGTATCAAACTGTATACAGAGTAAGTCATTTTTTTTTGAGTTTTTGAGTTGTGCATCTGGGTGCTGTGGCAAATCCCTTTGACTGAGACTTCTCAGATCTGAGTGGATCTCAGTGTCTGTGTAACGCTGCTGTTTGCTGTGACCCCAACTCTATGCTAACATTTGAGAAGACCAGAGGCTCTGGCTCAGAAGGACAGGGTAATGGAGTGCCCCACAGAGCAGGTCATTGAGTTTCCCAGACTTCTCAGATGAAATCCCACACAAGTACCCTCTTAGGGCACTAACAAATCCTGGTTATTATTGGACAGGATTCAACTGGCACCTCAGGACTAAATACATGAACCTGGTCTGTATGAGCTAATAACCACCCAGTCCACTTAGCTAAACTTGTAGAACAGATTCATTAATCTCCCCCTAAGTGGTTTCAATGATACTAGATGGGACAGAGCACCACAGCCAGATGTGTAGGTTACAATAGCTTTTGAATGAGAAATAGCTACAAATCAAGAAAAAAATCCCTGGACATTGACACTTATTTTATCCTGCCTTTACATGGTATATTGGACTGACTGACATCTTGTGGTTCCTTCCATTCTGTATTAATTACTATGCTCTAGATGCCTCAAATATATAAAAAGCCATCATTCTCGCATTTGTTTAAATGATACTCAGCTTTCCCCTAATTTTCACAAGGCAAAGAATGTTAAAATATATATATGTTTTGCATTTTTAAAATTTTAATATGAAAAATGGGGTATTATTAGCACTTAATCAAATAGTGTTTTGTCTGATCATTGTTGGCACAATCATTCATAAAATAACTAAGCTATGTAGACATTTATAAGCATGCAGGATTAATGAACAGGGTACAAAGGTCAAGAATAATACTGGTTGGTAATGTACAAACATCTCCCTACATCTCTGTCAACACAAGGTTACCCTTAAAGGCCCTATATTGCTCTCACTGAAGGAGTGAATACTGAATTCCAAGTCCAACTCATTTGAAATTAATGGCAATAGCTGCTTGAACAAAGTTATTTTATTATTATTTAAATCACTAGCAATGTTTGCAGCAGCGTGAGAGTCTCTGCCCCAAGAACTTGTAATCTAAAAAACAGGCACAGAGAAGATAGGATGTTCAAAACAAGAAATAACCTATTGATAGGTTAAACTTAAAAAACAACAAATAGTCTGGTAGCACTTTAAAGACTAACAAAACATGTAGATAGTATTATGTTAAAGTGCTACCAGACTATTTGTTGTTTTTTAAGTTTATCCTGTACAGTGCTACCCCCTGAAGCTATTAATTGGTGTTGTGCTTATGTTATTAGCTCACATCTTGTGGACAGGTGCAAAGGTCTGGAGTCTGAAAGAAGACAGCTCAATATCTCCTGTTACAGTCTTTGGCTCTGCCACAAGAAATGAACAGAATGAAACCATCACATTCATTTTGTGACCCAAGATAAATTCTGAATCAGGTTCCCAGACGCCAGAGATTAATATAATAATAGTCTCCTATGCCACCAGAGAACAGCTCTAACCAAGATTTATTTCCTGATTTTTTAGCTCATTAAGGGCCCAATCCTGTGCCCATCAAAATCAGCTACAGTTTTGCTTTAAACAGGAAGAACGGACTGTAGAAGAGTATTAGCCTTAATTCCGCCTATAAAAGGAAGCATCCCTTCCCTTTAGATCAACATTCTACATAAATAATTTAAAAAATAGCCCGTGGCCTCATGCCTGTGAGGTTCCGTTGCACCTCAGAATCCGATCTCTTTATTTACAGTTGACCTGCAGATCTAAGTGTAAATAGGAGAATAATGTGCATTTTAAAAGATCAATTATAAACCACCCATCCACGAATTCCAGCTAAGAGTGCAAATGGAGAGGCAGAATGTTGCGGGCTGGGAGGGGAGGGGGCGAACGTGCTAGATTTACAAGGCTAAAAAGGAAATCCCGATCAATAATAATATAGAAACCCAGCCACCCCTTCGCAAGGTCCTACATACAAAGTGCCATCGCCTTTCCCGTTACTCACAGAGCAGGCAGCTGGGAGATAAAACGCGGCTGGGTTCAGTTCCACCGCCCTGGGCTGGCGGGATGGGCATTGCCAGAGCGACCCCTAGCGCGCACCGCCTGTAGCTGCGGGTGCCCGCGGCGGGGCAGATGGACCCACACGAAGTTGTACCTATACCAGATGACAGCGGCGGCGAGGGCTGCTCTCCAAAGGGCGCCAGGACCCTTCCGCCCGGGCGCGCTGCCCGGCGGCTCAGAGACAGGGACTCTCGCCCCCGCGGCGGGGCGCTGGTGGGCGGCAATGCTTGGTGCGAAGGGAGGGGGAAATAAGGGGGGGGGGGGGGGACCCAAACAAAACCAACCCAAGGCGGCTCCGCGCTAAGTAGATGGAGGCGCCGCTGGATCGCAGCCGCGCGCCGCTCGGCCCCAGGCTGCGCGCCGGCGGGAGCGGGGCTCTGAGCTGAGCGCTGCCTAGCGCGGAGCGGAGCAGGGCGCGGTGCCCGCCAGCTGACGCCCCGCGCCCGGCTTGGGGAGCTGCAACGCGGGGGGCAGCGGCTGCCTCCGGGCTGGGACGGAGCATGCTCAGAGCGCTCGGGCAGGCTGCTGATGGGGAGCCGCATGTGAGATTACAGCGGAGCAAGCGGGCAGCTGCTACTTCGCGCCGGGCTCGCTCCGGCGCGGGGCGAACGGAGGAGGCGCCGCGGCGGAGCAGGGGCCAGCGAGCGAGGGGCACGGCTGGGTCCCACCTGCACCGGGAGAGCGGTAACCTGCACCCCTGGGCGTCTCCGCTGCCCGGATTACAGGAGCAGGGGGAACGGCCGTGCCGGGGCTCGGCCATGTGCCTGGGCACTTAGCAAGCAGGCAAGCCGGGGGAGGGGCAGGATATTTTGTTTGGGGGCCGGAGCGGAGCCCCACTCTCCAGCTGGCTGTGGTAGAAGGAAGCAGCCTCCTCTCCGCCGGTGGGGATGAAGGTGGCAACTTGGAGAGACAGCCCTTGGTCTCTGGGGCTGGGAGGCTGAGCGTCTGGGCTGTACAGGACAAGCCTCCCTCCCCCCCACATACATACACTTCCACCATGGATCTGCTGATGCTGATGAACATCAGTGTTGGCACTCCCAATGGATCCATTGCCTTCCCCTCCTCTTCCTCCTCTCCCCTGCTGCAGCCTCCCTCCCCCTACTCCCCCGGGGCTGTGGCCAGTTTGGCAGCTGTGGTGGGTTTCCTGATCGTCTTCACCATTGTGGGCAACGTGCTGGTGGTGATTGCGGTGCTGACCAGCAAGGCGCTGCGGGCTCCCCAGAACCTCTTCCTGGTGTCCCTGGCCACAGCTGACATCCTGGTGGCCACCTTGGTCATGCCTTTCTCCTTGGCCAACGAGATCATGGACTACTGGTACTTCGGCAAAGCGTGGTGCAACATTTACCTGGCGCTGGACGTGCTGTTTTGCACTTCTTCCATTGTGCACTTGTGTGCCATCAGCCTGGACAGGTATTGGTCTGTCACCCAGGCGGTGGAATACAACCTCAAACGGACCCCACGGAGGATCAAGGGCATCATCCTCACTGTCTGGCTCATCTCAGCCGTTATCTCCTTCCCCCCCTTGATCTCCGTGTATCGGGACCCCGAAGGGGACCTCTTCCCCCAGTGTAAACTCAATGACGAGACCTGGTACATCCTCTCTTCCTGCATCGGCTCCTTTTTCGCTCCCTGCGTGATCATGGTGCTGGTCTATGTCCGCATCTACCGGGTGGCCAAGCTGAGGACCAGGACCCTTTCTGAAAAGCGCACGATGCCCGAGGGCTCTTCCATATCTGAGAATGGGCTGAGCCGGGCCCCTCGGGGCTGCACATCACTGAGGATGCCATCAGGGGAGAATGGACATTACTCAGCACACCAGTGGCGCAAAGCCTCCGAACTGGAGGACATTGAGCTGGAGGAGAGCAGCACCTCAGAGAGCAGGCGGAGGCGGAGCCGGGATGAGCATCCCCGCAAAAGCAGTAAGACCCAGTCCTTCTCATATTCCTACTCCTCCAAGCACTCCAGCAGCCGCCTCTCCCGCTCCAGCAATCGCTCCATGGAGCTCTTCTCCTCTCACCGCCGCAGAAAGCGTAGTAGTGTTTGCCGTAAGAAGGTCACCCAGGCCCGGGAGAAGCGCTTCACCTTTGTATTGGCTGTGGTCATGGGGGTCTTTGTGGTGTGCTGGTTCCCCTTCTTCTTCAGCTACAGCCTTTATGGCATTTGCCGGGAGGCATGTGAAATCCCCGAGACTCTCTTCAAGTTCTTCTTCTGGATTGGGTATTGCAATAGTTCCCTCAACCCAGTCATCTACACAATCTTCAACCAGGACTTCCGCAGGTCTTTCAAACACATCCTCTTCAAGAAGAAGAAGAAGAATTTTCTGCACTGAGCTGGAGTGGAGAGGAGGGGTCTTCACTCAGCTGGAAAGGAGAGGAGAGGGGCCTGGGTGCTGGAGTAGTGCCAGGGTAGTGAAGAAGTGGGGGATGTGGGTAAGGAGGTGAGTTTACAGCCATGGGAATTGAGTGAAGTGGGTGTTAAGGGGCTGTGCTGGAGTAAGGAGGGATAAGTGAAGGAGGGAGGCGACCTGAATTTGCATTTTGACCTTGGAGGGGAACCATAAAGAAGAGGGTGGGACACTATGTTTTGAGCATGATGACCACTGAAAAGAAGTTCTCTAGAAGCCAAGCAAAGATGGGGAGAGGGAGAGAATGACTGATGGTGGAGTGTGAGATTTGGTTATTTATTGTCAATTAGAGAAGCTAGGACTTGTGCTGGATTCATCCCAGAGAGAAACCAGGTTTTACTGGTGAAGTGAGGGAAAAGGGGGGAAGATGATGCCAATTTATAGCCACTGACTATCTTTGATATTCTGAAAGAATTTAACTGTTTGCCAAAAAAAATCTAAAGAACAATCCAAACTTTTTTCTAAATAAACCTTTGTACTCGAAACCCTTCTGAATTGTGGTTTTGCATAGGACTTAAGTGAAAATGGGCACTTGGGGCTTTCTGCCTTCTAGTAGCCCTTCCATATGCCCCCGAGAGTTTCTCTTCCTCTCTTAGTACCCCTCAAAGGGGATAGTCTCAGGGACTGAATTTGGGTTCTGGTGGTGTTCTCACGTACAATTAGAGGCATAGTGTTGTGTAGTTGTTCGAAGCAATCACCATACCACACATGTTTAAAATTCTTCACAATTTCCTTCACATTTACATTCTTAGGGCAAATTAAAACTAATAGATTTATTTTTTTAAATGAAAAACAAGTGCAGCAGATTCTCACGAACATACAAGAACAAATTTCTAATAGATGGGGAAGTGTTCCAGTTCTATAATATTAATCTCTTTTTTTCTATTTGCACACACAGTTTTAAGTCCAAATTTTGTTTTTTTGAGCAATGATTAAAACAAATTCTCCCTCTCTCCCACCCCCGGAGATTGAAATCCCATAATTGCTAATGGGTGGGATGAGAATCAGGGTGGCATCTGTGTCTTCATCAACAGAGAATACGTTTCCAACTGGCTGCAAGACTTAGCCAACATTTAAAGAATCAAACAGTCCCTCTCCAACTACACTGCTGCAAGGTGTGAGGGAAGAAATGCTGTTCTGTCTTATTATGCATGTAATTTCTTTCATAGGCAGTAAGATTTGGCATCTGTCACATAAACCTTTCCCTAGTAAACAACTCTTTGAAATGGAAGGAGATCTAATGTAATACGACAGGCACCTTGAAGCATCCAAATCAAATCTATAGCTTTAGCTGACTAGATATCCAATTCCTTCCCTTTGCTGTGTTACAGGAAGGAAAGTGTCAACAGATCCCCTTCTCTTGGGATCCATATGTCAGCAGTAGAAATGATAAACCAGGAACTTAGGCTGTTTTATCTTCTCTCCATTATTACTGCTCAGTCCACTTAGAGTAGCCCTGGGCATAGAGCCAAGTAGACCTTCAGTGGTTTAGGCTTAGGTGTTTATTTAACAGACTATTTTCCTTCAGGGCCAACTCAAATAGCAGTTTTGCCTAAGTAAAGACTACAGCATTTGGCCCATTTTGAGTTTGGATGGTTTAGCTATTGCCTTTCAGAGACAACAAGGAGTCAAGTGATGAAAAGACTCAAATGTGGTTTAAATTTTCATACTCTTGAAAGAAGAGGCAGTAAGGCTTGTTTTGGAGGTGTGCCCCACCTTTGCAAATTACTGATGGTTAGATGATCGCAGCCCTTTTGATGCAGTGCACAAACAAGGCTGCTAATATTAGAAAATAATAGAAGTGGCTGAGATGAGAAAAATATAAACCATTTTCCCTTCTGTGAAATGCAGAATTCATTTCAAAATGGCATGAAGGGGAGGTGAAATGAGCTCAGGTAGTTTGAGGGCAGCATGCGATGGTACTGTGGGGCTAAATAAGTCAATAAACTATATAATTGTCGGAGCAACCAAAGCAACACATGCTAAATGTACTACTTCAGAGATGGTGGACAGCTTCATTAAAATATCCATTCTCACCACCAGAAAGGTTTGTATTTGTCACTGGGGGTTCAGGTTGGAGTGGCTTCCCACTCTGCAGACACACATTTCTCTGTCATACTCCACATTTTAAAATCAGATTGGCATGTGGTAAACAGTCATTTTCCTGTGTTTTTCTTTGTAAAAACAGATGGTGTCTGTGAAAGAGAAAAGACTATTGACAGTTAAATTTGAATGAGGGTGAAATACGGATTGCACAGATGACATATGCCTTAAAAGTAATTTCTTTGCCATAAAATCATTTTTAATTGCTTGGAACATGAAACAAACTGTGGCTTTATTTTCTGGGTTTTTGCTTTTACGTAGTTGAATAAGGAAGGATTTATGCAGGTACTGACATCTGATCTGTTCAGCAAGACACTTGAATATAGGGCATTTCCCTATGGTTTTATTTTACTTTTATTTACAAATACTTCTGTGACTGAACTCTCCCAAAGAATATGAATTCTTTTTTTTTGAATGATACATACACTAATATTCATGCTTACTGGCTTAAAGATGTACCACATAAGTCCATTTGTAAGTATATTTTCCTATAAATTGGTCATTAAAGTGAATTTCTATGAAAGTATATTTAATGTAACTTCTGAAAATGTTTCAAATAATTACAATAGGAATCAATTTAAAATTGTTAGGTACAATATTCCATTATCACTTGCTATACTAAAGAGCAGCAGATGCCTGTTGATAACATATTGTGTGTTGTTAATATTTCATACAAAGTTTACAGCTTTACAATTCACCCTCTGGTTGTGCTTCTACTTTAAGAGCTTTGCTCACAGGAATCTTTGATCAGATATACTGAGCTGGTTAAAACATTCACACTCAGTTATTCACAATAGGAATTAAATGTTCTTATAAAGACGTAATGATTTTAACAAGCACCTGACCAGTGACTTGTTCATTTTCACTTTGCAAAAAACTCCTCTCCGGCCTATAGTGAGAAGTGTACATTGTGTTTTTAAAAGTCTGTTTCTTGACCAGTGCACCTATTGCAGGATGGTAAATTATAATCACAGATATCAAACAGACTTGGTTAGGATGAGTGTTGAATTCTGTAGTCTTTACTCAGAAAAAGCTCCCATTCACTTTAAAGGAAGTTTTTCTTTAATGAGAATGGAAGAACCAACCTCCATTTGCTACAAGTGGGGGCTTTCTGCACAGTGGTTAGCACCATCAGTTACTTACATCATTATCTAAAATAAGACTGATCCCCCTAATTTACCTGGGTGAGCTCCATTTCGGATTTGATGCAAAAGACCACTGCAGTTAACTCAGTCTTTAAGGTTCAACATCAAGACTGAGGATCAGATTCTGATAGCCTTTACATTGACTAGTAATCTCACTGACTTCAGTGGATGAAAGAGCTATGCAGTTTGAGCAACCTTCCTATATGGGCCTGCCAATGGGGTGGAGGGAGGGAAAGGGGCAACTGTTCCATGGCCTGGTGATTCTAAAGGGTCTGGGGCTCCAGCTGCCATCACTGCTACTGTGACGGTGATGGTGCCCAGAGCTCCAGGCCCTTTACATTGCTCCCAGAATATTGCACAATGTTCTCCGAGCAGCTCTAGGGCTGGGGAGAAGAACTAGTGTGGCCTGTGCTTCTAGGCGTGCTGAGAGCTGGCTACCCCTGTACTCCCACTTCTGCCCTAGGCCCTGCCCCTTCCAGGAGTGCAGTGCCAACCCCCTATCTTGTCCAGGGGCCCGGCGTGGCTGTCAATTCAGTTGCATCTGCTCAGAAGATGTGGTCAATTGTGTAAATAATTATTCATGAATAATTCAACTATTGATGCTAAACTCAACTCTACTATTGGTGTTAAAAATTCTTCACTGTTCAACTCTGTGATAGAGAGGATCAGATCCTATGAACAATGATTTACTTCATTGGTTGAGCAACAGATCATGCCATGCTTTCATCAATAAACCTTATGCAGAATATTATTTGATCCTCTCAACTTCTCAGGGACCTAAAATGATGTATATTGCTTACTTGCTGGCACTCAGTACTGTTTAATATGGGAAGATTGATTTTGTTCCATTTATGGGGCACTGTTGGTAAAGTCAGGGTCCTGGCATGCATTCCAAAAGATCACATTTTTAATACTGGATGCCTTGCATTCAACTCTGTTTTTACTAACCTTAAACTATGACCATGTACGACGTAGGCCTAGTCTGTAAGTTAACTGATACACCACGCTGCATCAATGGCAGATGCCCTCCCATTGACACAGTTTCTGCTCTTGAGGTGGCTTAATTGACAGGAAAGTGCTCTCACATTGACTTATCATGTCTTCACCAGACCTGCTAAATAGATGCTGCTGCATCGAGCCAAAAAAGCTCATGATAGTATATGTATTTTTGTTTGTCTCTCACTTTTTTTTAAAGTTACAGACTAACATGGTTATCCCTCTGAGACTTTTGGGCTACGTCTACACTGGCCCCAAATTCCGGAAAAGTCATGCAAAGCAGGTAAGTCAGAATAGGGAAATCCGCGGGGGATTTAAATATCCCCCGTGGATTTAAATAAACATGTCCGCCGCTTTTTTCCAGCTTGGGGAAAAGCCGGAAAAAAGCGTCTAGACTGGCGCGATCCTCCGGAATAAAGCCCTTTTCCGGAGGATCTCTTATTCCTACTTGAATCCTAATCCAAAATAGCTAGTCCGTGCCGCGTGTAGCCGCACGGCACGGAGTCCGAACTAGCCGGCATTTAAAAATGGCGCCGGCCGGCTTCATGCAAATGAAGCCCGGGAAATTTAAATCGCTAGTTCGAACTAGCGGGGTAGTGTAGACATACCCTCCCATTGACTTTGATGGGAACAGGATGTTATCCTTAGGGTTTTGTGCAAATGTGGTTAGAACAATGTAATGTACTTTTATTTGTACAGATCTAACAGAAGTAAATCTACAGCTAAGAAAGCGCCGGCACATTCAGGTTCAATAGTCACTCTGAAGTGTGACTGCACTTCATGTACATGTACTGGAGCTAGCTTTGTTCCAGAGAACTGTAGCAGTGAGGAGTAGCTGCTTGTGGATATGTGCAGGATCCGGGACAGGTTTGTGTGGCCCTTGGTGCTATAGTTTCACTGCTATTGTTATTTAAGCTACGTCATTTTCCTGGGGTACCTCAGGTTGCAGCACAGACAATCTATGTCAGTGGCAGGAAAGGGGATATAATCTTGTCACTGACTCCCAGGTGCCTGCTCTTATTTATTATTGGAATTCTGATAGCCACCAGAATTCCCAGTCCCGTATGAGGGTCCAGCTTTGATAGGTGCTGTATCAACAAATAAAAAGAAGGTATCCCCAGGAGCTCACAATCTAGATTTACTACAAGATGCAACAGGGACAAACAAGGAGGAGACTAAGTGCCAGTAAAATGAACACGTTTGGATATTTGGCAGTAGTCTCTGCTCCCCGCCTGTCTAGCTATTGAGCCATGCTGCCTTTCTGGTGATTTTAATATTTAGTAATAAAGCCCATCACACTGGTCTTCTATGAGTCTAGTTAAAAAAAAAAAACGTAAAGCTACTAGTGGGATAGGGAACTCAGAGGTTAAAACATCAAACAAACTCAGATAATTTCTGTCCTAATGGCTGTGGTTTTACCTTATGTGACATGGTGCCCCATTTGTAAAACAGAGATAGCACTTCTATTTCTCTCAGGGGAATTGTGAGTGTAAATTCATTGGTTTTTGCAAGATAATCAGACAGTATTTGCTATGCAAGTACCTAGATAGTGGAGTAGTTGTGATGATGCTAAGTAAGGGCTTTTAATTCACTACCAGACCTTATTAGATTACAGTAGAATGTTTTATTACCAATATACATGTGTTGCATAATATTTTAAGGGTGTTTTACAAACATATCTGTGAGTGTGGACTCAGTGAGGTCAGTCCTTGTTTGTTTATATCAGAAGATCTTCAGTTACCAAGTGGTACAATGGCAACCAACTGGTTATCTCAGATGCATGGTGCACTGCCTTAGAAACACACCTAGAAGTACAGCTGGTTGGAATTTCTCTGGAGGCATGTTTTTCTGCTGCAAAATGCCGATTCGGTGAAGTCAAAATGTTCTGCTGGAATGTGTCCATTTTGCTAAAATTCTGAAGGAAACCAAACAGGTTTCCTATCTGCTCACCTTCTCTGCTGCCCATTCAGCCCTGGGAGCTCCCATTTCCAAGTTCCCAAGCTCACAGCTACTTGGCAGCTTGGATTCCCACAACCTGCAGGCTCCCAGCTCCTTGGAAGCCAGGACTGACAGGGCTTCCATGTTCCTGTCTCCAGAGCAGCCCAGCAGGTAAATCGCACCAGAGTCAGGGGCTCTCAGGCCTGGTTTACATAGCCTGGGAAGGTCAACTCACGGTACCCAACTCCAGCTACACAAAATGCATAGCTGAAGTCGACTTACCTTACGCCAAGCCTTGGAAGGTTTTTGATTAACCTCTTTCATTTCATAGGAAAAGGGGCTTTAATCATTGTAAGATTAATATATGTGTCCTTAATCATTCTTCCAGAATTGCCAGGTCTGATTTTGCCTCAGACCCCCTACCATTACAGTATCTGAGCCCCTGAGTAACTTAACCCATGTCACACAGGTAGCTTGTAGCGGAGCAGAAATTTGAACCAGGTTTCCCAAATGCTAGGTTAGTGCCCGCATCAATTGGTCATCCTTCCACTCAGTTGCTGTGAGGGGACTACTACTACTACTCTTGGAGTTACTCAAGTCACTGAACCCTTGCCTGCTAATGCGTGGGACTTTCCTCTAACCTCTAAGAACCACTGCTTCTCTGGTGATGTGAAATTAAACATGACTGGGCAAGAGTGTGATTGTTAGTTCAGCCACAGTCAGCAGAGCGAGCTGAGTCAGCTAACAAAGAGGGGTGCTCAGTATGTCATGCACTCAAGCCGTGGCTGTGTCCTGCAGTTTTATATAAACTAATGTGTCTTTTGCCCAAGCAGCTTTGTCAGTAGCATGATGGACACCCTACAGGCAACACACAGCAAAAAGAATCTTTGTGCACTGACATTTGGCCAGCTGTGCATCTCTGTGTGGATTTCAGATACGGAGAAGTGAAATTTCTCCTTTCTGACCATATAAGGCAGCCCTTCAAATCTTGAATGTCAAGTGAACATTTTACACAGAGGATATTTCCTAGCAGCATCCACTGCCCTCAGATACGCACAGTCAACTTCCATCAGATTCAGTGGGAGTCCTGTGCATGCAACTGAGAGCAGAGCTTGTCTCTAAATGTGGTTATTAAAGGGAAAAAA